ATGCAGATCTTTGTCAGCAAGGTGATGTCTCTGCTTTTTAATATGCTGTCTAGGTTTGCCAAAGCTACCAAGCTGGCTATATATAATACTTGCAGAGGTCAACAGAGTATTTTTATGTATTTTTTTCTTTTTTAATCAATTTGCAAAGGCCACCTTGAGTTAAAAGTTTATGTTTAGGAAAGAAAGCTGGGGATTCTATTAAAATAATAGTTAAAGCAAAACCAATAATAAGATATCAGAGATGTGTGATATATTGGAATTTATTTCCTAATACCAAATTAAACTATGTGTGAGTACTGCTATTTGTGAGAAAAGCCAGAACCAAGAACAGGAGAAATTTATTTAAAATCCTCTAGTAAAAATGGAATGGGTACTAGGCAACTTGGACTCACAGAAAGGGCAACTTCAAGCTACCATTGACTCATGTTCTACCACATCTTCTTATGGAAAGTGAAAAGTTTAACCATAATAAGAAATAAAGCCTCCATGTTAACTAAAGTGGTTGAAAGAAGAGATAAAATAAAAACCACATTTTAATCATTTGTAATTTCAACATACCTATATGCTAACTACCAAACTTCTCGGTTCAGAAAGAGCCACCCCCATCTCATCCCCACTTTGGTGCAAATTTATTTTCAGCATCCTCCTGACTCCTCTGTGCCTGGGTATCAGCAGTCATCTTTTTCATTCACTGCCAACTGTTCAAGGCACATGTGTTCTGTCAGAAATGGCACCTGGATGATAGAAACTCAAGGATTCACATATGCTCTGAAGCAGAGTTCCTTCCTCTTGGGCTAACTGAAAGAGTGTAAATAGAAAGTTCACTCAATGTTGATTTTAATTAGTACACTGCTTCATTAACATAAAGATGAAAATTCTATTTTAATCATATCATGCAATATCAGCGTGAAATATAAAATATATGGTAGCTTTAAAAACCATAGAAAAGTATTTTGCAATTATGAATTTTCATCTCTTCTCAATAATGGCTCTGAAACCTTTCTCATACAGAAAGGAACATCAGAGTTCCTTTATACTTTATTATAAGAAGTTATTCTAGATATGCTATATCATGACTATCCTCTCTTCATGACCTCAGTTCCAAAGAAACATTATTTTAAAACATATCTGAATAAATGATTTGATTTGTTGTTTTTCTGTTCAGAAATGTTGGCTATAAAGGTTATGATGAGTTCCACAAACATGGATGCTTACACCGACCATTCATATGGCATTCAGGTGCCAACACAAGCCCAATTATTGATCAGAATTAGGAAGTTTAATAAATAAGGTTTCAGTGTCTTTTTCAAAAACTTTGGAATTATTTTAGCATGTTGACCACAATACTTCTTAATTCTATCTACAGACCAACTGACAGAATGCTGATTAGTTACAAAGACTACTATTTTTAAAAAAGCTATTAGTAGGTAATTATGTTTAAATACTTGATTCACTAAGAAAATTTTCCGAAAATTTTCATTCTAGCAAATCAGTTGACTGGCAATGATTCTATGCAAACGTTCCCCTCTCACCGGAGCAGTGAATATACTGAGGGGGCCACTTTTATCAGTCTGCAATCACATTGACGTCCACCCTGCATGATCTCTCCCTTTTGTAAGGCAATTTATAGGGAATCAGGGTACATAATTTGGTCACTTTGTATGGTCAAGGAGGAACAAGTATTTGCTAGTTCCATTACCACTGATCTGTTAGTGTGTATGATTGGAACCCAGTTGGAAACAAACATTTTCTATGCACATCTTTGATGATATTATTTAATGCAATCCAGAATTCCATGTGTTATATAGTAAATGCATTTCATAGATACTTTTTTTTTCCCCTGAGAAGAGGAAAGAAATTTCACATGGCACATCAGTATACTTCACTGAACAGCAGCCTCGCTTCATGTTTACTAAAAATCCAAATTGGTGGGGAGGCAGCCAAAATGTTAGGTGCTAGTATCTCTCAAACAGATGTCTCAGCATTATTTTGTTGTGTGGTTGGAAGAATAAGCATGCATAATTGTGAACTGCTACACCATAGGTGCCATTTATTTATTTATTTTAAATGGGCCAATCTGTTTACAGTTCTGTAAATATCAATATCAGGTTTTGCCAGTTTTTGGAAGCAGTAGCAGCTATGCCCTATAATTACTGGGATCAAACAAGTAGCTAGGAATTTCATAATAACACATATGCTAGTTTTTGGAATTACTATATAATTGTACTACATTTCCTTTGCAAGTTACTTGAAAGACAGTATGTCATTGATAAAAATATGGGATTATTACTATTATTATTCTTGCTGACATATACTATATCTTCCAGTTTTTAAAAAGGTAACCACTAGATTCAAGACTAAAGATGAAGCCACCTTTAATTAATTAATATTCCAAGTCTACCGCTTAGGACATGGGATTTAGCAATCATAAACCTGTTTGATGGGGGAATTCAGCAGGGTCAGACTTTATACAATTCAGCAGTCAGCTTTGGCTAAAACTACAACTGGCAAAAGTGACGAAATTTGTAAATAAAGCCATCAATCTTAAGTCATGCAAAACCTGCTATAAGTCATTTCTCAGATTTGTACTGAAAAATATTAAAAATAAAAGAATTGAGCTTGAATCCTGGTGATTTTATGGGTATGCTAATGTACTGATCTTGGCAATAGTAAGAAAGTGGAATGCCACTACTGTCATCAGATTTTCTTTTAGGATCCTAGTCTAACCTATCCTTCCAAATTCTGCAATGCTGTCTCATAATTTGTTTTTGGGGGGGGGGATCCTGGGAGGGACAAGCAAACAATACTGGGATTATATGCCAAGGGTATCTACCTCCAGCAGGGTCACCCAAGGTGTGAAAGTCATCCCAGGTGCCCAGATAAAGCAAGTAGGCACCAATATCAAGCAGCAGAGATATAGGAAAATGCTGATCACTTTTGTGACAATGACAAAGGCATCATTTCATGCTGCATGGGAGAAGACAATGGTAAGCAATTCCTAATTTTACTAAGAAAACCTTATGGATAGACAAGATAAAGCGATCAGTGATATAATGCCAGATGATGGGTCCCTTAAGTCAGATGGCAGTCAACATGCTACTGAGGAACAGCTGAGGATCATTGGGAGTACTAATGATGCTTATGATGTGGCCAAATTAAAGTCTTTGAGATGTCTAGTGGCTGATGCTTCTATGTGGGAAAAGAAAATCCAAAGCTGCAAAAATAGAATTATAGTGGGAACATGGAATGTAAGAAGCATGAACATGGGAGAGCTTAACACAGTGATAGGTGAAATGAATCAACTATACATTGACATCTGAGTCATTAGTGAATTGAAACAGACTAGAATTGGGCACTTTGAATCCGAAGTTCATACTATATACTATTCAGGACATGAAAAACAAGAAGGAACAGCATTGCTTTCATAGCCAGGAAAGATATAGAAAGGGCAGTACTTTGGTAATGATACAGTCAGTGACTGAATACTGTCAATTAGACTTCACAAAGTCCAACTCTAATACGATGATTATCCAAGTTTATGCTCCAATCACTGATGCACAAGAAGAGGTTGACAATATCCTGCATTTGGAGACTGGAATACCAAAGTTGGAAAGAGTAAGGAGGAAAATGTAATTTGACTGGAAACTGGCCTAGGAAATTGAAATTAAGCAGAATGACTTGCCAGTTCTATCAATCTAATTATTTCTTCATTGTTAACACAGTTTTCAAATACCAGAATGACATCTATGGACCTGGACAACACCCTACAGAGTACACCAAGTTCCAAAGTGATATACCTTGGTCCTAACCAAAGTATAACATCAAATCTGGGGAAAGATGGGTGAAAGGGGAAGAACAGGACAACCAACAGTAAGGTGGTTAGTTTACCTATAATTGAGGTGGACTCAGTTACAGCAATGAAGGATGCACATTAGAAGAACTGAAGGGTCTGATTTGGACAGATCATTTAGTTAAGTCTAGTCTACAGCCTGGCATTTCTTGATAGTCTCCCATCCAAATAGTAACCAGGTATGCCTCTGCTTAGATTTTTAAGATCAGCGTAGTGTAAGATCAAGTGTAATTTTCCTCAACCAGGTGCCCTCCAGATGCAATGGACTACAGTTTCAACCACCCCCAGCTA